AGTCAGTATTAATGATGTCTTTAATAATTTGCCTCCAAGAAGAGAAATAAAAGAATATAAACAGATGGGACTTCATCAATCTACAAAGCCTCTGCACAGAGAAAAACTATTGTTAACTCAAAATGGTAGACAATTCAATAGAAGATATTTGCAAAACATATCTATGGCTAGGGGTTAAGATCCAAAATATAGAAACAACTCATGCAACTCAACCATACCAAAAATAAAACTCAGTTAAAAAATAAGCAGGCAATATACATAGACATTTCACCAAAAATGTTATACAGATGGACAGAGACATATGAAAAGATGTTCTGTATTACTTATCATTAGGAAAATGCAAAGAGAAGAGAGGTTCCTCAAAGAATTAAAGATAGAATTGCCATATGATCCAGTAGTCCCACTTCTAGGTATTAACTTAAAGAAAATGAAAACACTAGTTTAAAAAGATGTATATACTCCTATGTTTATTGCAACATTATTCACAATAGCCAATATATAAAAACAATCCAAGTTCTCAGCAACGGATGAGTGGTAAAGATGCAGTATATAGTAACAACAACAGAATACTGCTTGGCCATAAATAAGATGAAATCTAGCTATTTTGACAACATAAGTGGACATTGAGGGGGTTATGCTAAGTGAAATGTCAAAAGAAAGGCAAATACTGTATGTTTCCACTCATTTGTGGAATATAAAGGGAAAAAAAACAAAGGAACTAACAGAACAAAAACAAACCCTTAGATTCTGACAACAGAACAGTGGTTACCAGAGACAAAGGTGGGCCAACTGGTTGGTGGAGAATGGTTCTGACATTTGGTGGTGGGCCTAGTGCAAACCACGCCCTTGCTGAAGTGAGACAATGTACTTCTAGAACCTATACAACATTGTAAGCTAATGTTGCCTCAATTTAAAAACATGAAAGAGAGTAAAGAAACTACACATTGTAATTAGTCCTCTTTTGCTGAATTGCAGTGTTTCCTTCATCAGTGAAGTACCATCAGTTATAGCCAATTGATTGATTTTTTTTCTCTCATAAAAACCCTTACTGTGCTGGTAGTTGGTAACAAGGAACCCTTTAACTTGTTCTTTAAGAATTCAGTGTTCTGATTTCCTGAGCTATAGATTCTCACAGATATTGGACTAAGTTTTTTTCCCCTTATTTTCTTTATAATTTTCCATTGGAATTAGATATTAGATTTGTGAGATTTCATTTTAAAATGTAGAATTAAGATGGAAAATGCTAAGGAAATAATTTTATATAAAGCCATGCATACATTTATTTTTAAAAATTTTAAATAAAGCAAAATCTCTCTGACTTAATACTATAATTTTCCTATAAAGTCAATATATGTTTTAAATTACTACTTTGGAATTATATTATAATAAAGCCAAATAGTTATTATAGGCAAAGTATTAAACTTTGCTAGCATAATTGCTTAACATGCCCTGGCATTCATTTTGAAAACAGTTCTGCTGATAACAAAAGTGATATTTATTGTGGAAAAATAACTTAAAATACAGAAATCAAAGGAAAATAATGTGCAGTCTTTCCACTCACAGCTAATGACTATTAATGTTTTATATATACACATGCATACATGTATATAGAAACACACATATAGGATTTACTTCCTATTCACAGAGGACGCATATTTTAATTTTTTTCTCTCAAATGCATACTAGGATGCTATTGCATATTCTGCTTTGATTCTGTATCAGGATGCATTTGACTTCTAGTAACAGAACCCCTAACGTAAACAAGTTTAAAAGTGGATGGAGTCTGTTATCTCATGAAATAGAAATTCCAGAAATAAAATAAGCTTCACAATGGGTTCATTGACACCATTACGTTATCAAGATCGTGGATCCAAGTACTTCCTACTCTCTCTGTCCTGCCATCAGTATTATCAACTTCATGCTAAGATTGTTCTATTCATGGCCATAAAATTACCACCATGAACATCTGAGATAGCTTGCTTCCTTATTCACATCTAAGGGAGAGAGAAAAGGCCTTATTGCTATTAATGGAGTGTAATTGTGTAATGCCCTTCTGTCATTGAATCTAACTTATCTATCCCCAGATCAGTAACTGTCACCAGATAGACACCAAAGCCTGGGTTCTTCTTTGTCACTGGCAAAGGGAATTACATTATCTTGATTAACATAGACTAGTTGGGGTCACTTCCCCAAACCACACTGCTACTATATAATTGTGGAGATATGGAATAGTGGTTGACAGTCAGCCCCAACCTCAGAAACCTAAGATTTTCACTGAATATTTTATGAACATATATAAGGGCCATGTTAAAATATTACTTAGCTTATTTCTTCCTCATTGCCTCCAGGCTCTGGTATAATTTGTTTTGATTGTCAAAATTATGCCTTCCTCCTGCTTGTTCATACATGACGTTCTAGGAAAAACCTACTTCCTAGCTAGGACCCCACAAGAGGAAAAGATCTCCCCTCCCCGACAAGTATGTTCTTCCCCTTTGCTCTAATTGGGCAGAAAGTGGGCCCCAGGCCCATCGCCCTTTACTGACTTTTGATCATCAAGATCCAAGCCTGGTGGTGGGAATGGGCCTCACATACCAGTGCCTGGGGAAGGTGTGGGCACCTCAACAGCATGAGGGTCTGTCAGGGACAAAGACCCCAAATGGATGCATGGTACCCACTGGCTATCTTTAAACATTGTTCTTAAGTATCACAGCAATTATCAGAATTTGAAATTAAGATGAATGTTTTTAGATATTTAAGTCGTTATTAAAGAGATTAGTTTCTTTTGTTGAAATTCTATGTTCAGAAAGAGTTGGATAGGGAAAAAGAGTAAAGTTTTCTGGGAATTGATCCTAATTAAATCTAATATTCCCCCAAAGTCTTGGCATTGTTGTGATGCTATTTTTGGCACTAGATTAAGTTTTTCTTCATGATTTTTGACTTAACCTGGTATAGAAATTAAAATCTAAATGAAAAAATAAAGATAAACTATAATAGATGTAAGCTTTGATATTTTTATTCATGCATTTTTTATTTCAATACCCTTGAAACAATGTCATAAATAATACAGAGAATTAATAGGCATTTCTGCACAATAATTCTGAGAAATAATAGGCATTCTTAAAATTACAATGGCCAAAATCAGCTGTTGAAGAAAGAAGTTATGATATATTCAGTTTTTAAGTACTTTAAGTACTATTAAATATATAACTTCATGTGTAGTAAATATTCATATTTAATTTTAGGTGCCAGTATAATATATACTAAAATAAAATGGAACAATTTCTATAGTTTTATAAAGGAGTCTATAAAAGAGTCATAAATAATTATAGTAAAACTTTTTTGAAATATTTTTATGGGACTAAAAATTGAAAATTCCTTAATAGAGAAATTTTCTTAAATGAGAAATGAGGTAAGTTAATCATAGAGACCTCAAACTGTATTATATCCTCTGGGAACCCTGAATAAGCAATAACTTCCTAACATAATCTTATATAATGTATACAAATCAAGACTTTTGTAAAAGCTTTCCAAATGATATCAGGAAGAAAAAGATTATTATTACTCTAAAATTTCTCAAAAGAAGTTACATCGCATATTTTTTGTATTTCCATAATCGAGATCTTAGTTTATCGAATTTAGAAAGGCTATGATTATCTAAGATTTAAAAACAAACAAATAGAACTGTTCCCTGTAGATAACACAATTGTAGGAGAGACACAAGTCGCTGTAAATCCCAGGATATTTCTAGTGTTCTTAAAAAAAAAAAGTACAGACTAATGATATTTTGTTAATCAGAATGCTTTTAATTTGTTAATCAGAATACCTCAAATCTTAATTCACCACTTAGGAATAGTTTATTCATCGTTGTTCTGTTGTTTTTTTAAGAACAAATTCTACCTCCCCTAACCTAGTCCATAGTTAGCAAAAAGAATACAGAATTATAGCTTGAGCAAAGGTTACTAAAGCACTCATTTTAAAGTTGCTTGGGTTTGTGGAAGTATGTCTTTATTATTTTTCTTCTTTTTCTCTCTTAAATAACTAATCTGATCAGAGTCTATGTATGGAATGGTTGGGATGGCTTATGGGGAGATCTAGTCTTCTCCCTGATATTAATCTGCTGTGTTACCCTAGACAAATAACTTAATCTCTCAGATTCTCAATTTTCTTGTTTCTGAGGGGAGGTCAAGTGGGTCAAATGTGTCTCACAGATTCCTCTTTGTATGAGAATTGGATATAGGAAAAGGATTCCATTATGATCAAGTAGACAGATTGTCTGCACTTCTAGGACACAGATGGAAAAATGTAATCCTGGAGCCTGGGATGATGGGAGACTTGAGTTGAAGAGGTCAACACTATGCCCATTAGTTTAGAAATAGATGCAGGCTCTCATGAGAATGCCCAGAAAAATCACAGTCAATTCATTTGCCCTGGTCCAGGTTTTGGTGGTCTCACCCTCTGTTTGAAAGATTTGTGACCACAAATCAAATAGCCCCACCTACACCTCTGAGTTTCAACAAACCCTGGATAGCTATCCCCCCAAATAATGTCTTCCTCACAACCAAAGGTTGGAGCTCTCAGGCCCTCCTGGCAATTACACTATTGCAGATTTTTTTTAACCTTTTAATATTTCTTATAGTTGGCCTAGTAAGTTAATTTGTCTTACAATTATGAAGTTCCAGGGCATCCCCTGGTTGCACAGGCGCTTGAGCGCAGCACTGTGAAGCTGTCTGCAGCATCTGCAGCGCCGGTTCGATCCCGGCCTGCCGGCGAGGGTCCCACATGGTGCTGCAGACCTCTCCTGTCTCGCCCACTGCTCCCCTCAGCAGTGTATTTTGTCTGTCTGCCTGTTCTGCTCCCCGCTCTGTCTCTGGTGAATCCTCTCACCCTTCCACGCATCTGGCCTGTACCCCAGTTCTTGTATAAACAAATAAAGCTTTAAAAAAAAAAACAATTATGAAGTTCCACAGAGCGGCTTTGACACTGTCCCTTCTCTGACACAGAGCCATCACACTGCAGAATCAACTGGTCATACTTGCAGCCACAGCTGGAGATGCAGGGGCCTACTACGTGCAGGCCGTCAACGAGCGGAACGGGGAGAACAAGACCAGCCCATACATTTCCTTGACTGTAGCAGGTGAGTTTTGAAATTCCAACTAATAATTTTGAAAGCAATCTAATTTTGATTTAATTAATAACAACTGTCTCATGGGTCATTTTGCAATAAATCTTATCTTGCCAGTAGAGAAGTTATGGTTTAATGTTGATCCACTGTCAATAGTTGTTTTCTGTGAAGTGACATGCAGAAAATTGTGACTACAATTGATAATTCTGAACCTGAGATCTTATTTGTTTTGGGAATTAAAAAAACCCTTTTTTGATTTTTATACTGTTACTACGTACTTTTTATAACAACAAGAAATCTTTTGATTATTAAGGAATTATATCCATAAGCCTTATTTGAGACTAGAATGAACACAGGTTATATCCTTTTAATTTAGTAATAAAATCCTTGAGACAATATTTACACTAATGTGTTGAACTTAGCAATATGTCTTAGTCATAATCAGCTGATCAATTCATCTACATGATTTAACTAAAACTGAAAGATGGAAAGAATACACCTATCACAGTGATTTGTTCAGTTTAATTTTGGAAAATTCAGTTTAAGGAAACTTAGTTTAAATATTTGGTCTTTGAAAGAAGGTCGCAGAAATTGTACTAATGCCAGAGAAGGGGAAAATGACCAGAAGTAAGAACTCTAAACTCTGTGATTAAAACCTGGATCTCAGAGAACATGGCACCAAATGTTTGCAGCATGAAGCTTCATAGTGTAAAATGCGGTGATTGTGCTTTTGAGAAAGTACAGTTGGGAAATGGTTATAAATTTCAAGATAATTTTGTCTATAGAAGATTTTATTCTTTGAAAAAATACCTATTTCCTGACCCTTTGTTTTCTATATTCTGGATATAAGTGAAACCATCTGATATATATTTTTTCCTTCTGACTTATTTCAGTTAGCACAATCCCTTCCAGCTTCATCCATATTGCCACAAATGTCATGAGTTTATCTTTTTTGATTGATGAGTGGTATTCCATTGTGTATATATGACCAGAGATCTGAGGCACATAGCAGGAGAGGGGGAGGGAGAGGGGACAAAACAAGGGCCTGGAGAGTATAAGGGACTATGGTGATGGCTCAAGTATGCTATGGTGGTGGCAACAGGGACTACACCTAAGGAGAGAAATCAACCACCGTTCAAAATTAACAATGATGAAAGCAAATAAATTAATTAATTTTAAAAATCTTCAAATATACCTTGAAGGGAGGCTTTCACCTTCAGGTCATTTCAGAAGTTTTGATTTGTACCTGGGATAGGACCATAGTGCCTGCTTCTGTTGGTCCTAGAGAGATACGATTGCTTTAAGCCCAGTAGGTTTTATTGGGTGAATGTAACAGATTTGGGGGTAGGAAGTTGTGGGAACTAATTGAGTGTGCCCTTATATGCCCAGCACCATTCTGGTTTAGTGCTTCTGAGTTACCATTATCACCATAGTTCCTAGAACTTGAATCCTGATCAGCAGACTGTAGAATGGCTGAAGAAATTGGCCTCTTGAATGCTTTGGAGAGTTATATTCTTTGATTAGGTGTGGGGTTCACAAAATCCAGCATATGATATACTGCTATTAAAGGAATCTGAACCAAGAGTCATAGTAGAATCAATGTGGTTTATCAGGATATTTATTTCAGTACTGATAATAAAGGATGGACATTGTATTATCAAATAGATTGTGATGACTTTAATGATTGCTGAGTTTTACAATTAGAGCCATTTATTCTGTTTGGCAAATCTAATTCAGCACTCAGTTGTAATGTACATAATAGGATGATAGTAAGAGGTCAAATCAGTGTAATTCTGAGTCAGAAACAAGGAAATTGACCTCAGTCTGTTAGAAAAGGGTGGCAGAATTCCACAAATATTCTGGTTAACATGATGCTAACATCACAAAATTATAAAATAGACTGCACCTCCTAGTTTTCCATATGCCTACTATATAAAAAAAAAAAACAACAGTAGAAAATAAAACTAATACAGTGAATTTGCAAGCTGCCATACCCATGCAATACCATGACATTAGATAATTGGAATATGTAAATTTTTCCCGATAATTTCAGTTATGAATCCAGCCAAGAACTATATTGGAAGTAGCTCATAAATATTATAATTAGCTGCCTTGCATTTTGTTCCCTTGTATAGTTTTATCTTTTCATTGGCACTGGGTAAAATGTGTAAAAGGTGAGATATAAGGTTGATGATATGGGCAGACTTATTTTACATCTTAGGAGAAACCCGCATTCTGCTCCCTTATATATTCTTTGTTCATCATCAGGACAGGTGAAATGTGAGGAGCAAGGAGGTTGAGGGAGCAATCTTATTTTAATTCTTAGGAGAACCTGACTGTTGACATATTGGATTTAGCTAGACGTTAATGGCACCCAATTATGCATCTTCTCACTAAAAGTTCTATTTTGAAAACTCGAAAGATCAGAAGTCCTGATAAAGCTACAGAAAGCCCCAGACTTGTATGTTTAAATCTTGCTCCTTTCTGGACAGCAGGGACTGCTGTGCACAGTGGAAACCGCATTCCCAGAGCTCACTGCCAGCAGCTCATGAGGCCGGAAACACTAAATAAGTGCTCAGGCTCTGCAGATTTATTATGGAATTAGAGATTCTAGAGACCTCGCTGTACTGGTACTAAGATATAGTGTGTTATGCAGACTTCAACATTTTTTTTCTGATATCGTATTTGTAAAAACACCAAATAAGATTGATGAAAAATTTTTTAAACTTTCCAGCCAGCATTTCTGAAGAATCAAAAGATACTACAGTCAGTTATCACTTAACGAAGATAAATTTTCCCCCTGCATCGGGAGAATAAAGTAGGGGAGGTTTAAGAAGTGAATACAATCAAGGTGGTAGGGGACTGGAAATTAAATTCCTGTATTGTAATTAATTTAAAACCAAAGAGTGCCATGTGGTCCCACCTCTTGTTTCCTGTCGTTCTAGTAAACTGTTCCTTGTGTTAGGACAGCCTAGTGTCCAGGAGAGGAACACCCAGGGCCAGCCTTGCCTCAGAGTATCCCACTGATTGGTGGGCAATCACTCTGCTAATAGAAGGAAATGATGTATTTTCCCAAACAGCTATGCACTTGAGAGTTCAAAATCTCACCAGCTTTTCAGTTGCTAAATATTTTGGCTACCCCTGAAGCTTATGGGAAGCAAGAGATAAAGAGGCTTAGATTAAAATAAATAAATATTTTTTAAAACATGACAATTAGAAGTGAAATGCAGTCCCATCACGGTACCGCCTGCTGTTTTGTGCATGTTTAGCGGATGGCATTGTTCTCTTTTATCATGTCTTCCCTTTTATATGGTTAAGAAGATAAATTACAGCATGTTCTGCACAGATATTTCCTGTCAGGTAGGAGAGGACTTTTCTGAACTCTCCATTCTACCGCTTACCAGGGAAAGCTTGCTGCCATCTCTGGGGTGGATTCACTTTGAAGTTTTAATGTGACGTGAAGCCAGCAGATGTTAAGGACATAGGTGGGACTGCTGAAGCATCCTGCATGAATTTTTCATGGCTGGCTCCCGCAGCTCAGGTGCACACCAGAAAAAGAATGGGCTGAACTTGCCTGAAAGTAGACATTTCTATTCTGAGGTCAAATCCAGGCAAGCTTTATAAACCTGTCAACCTGTTTTTGGTTTTCACTTTGAAGATTTTACATGGAGTTAACTTTTGTGGATCAGATCTTCTGAACTGAATTAATATATGAATAAAAGTTTTTTTCTTTAAAAAGAAGGGGAGGGAAATAGAGTTAGGCAATGAGAACTCTGTAAAGTGATTAGTCAATCATTGTTTAAAGGCCATTGTACATACCTTAGACACATCATCAGGTCTGATCCAATATTCAGAATGTTCCGTGTAATGAGATTCTCTACTAGGGATGAAGTTTAGATTAAAAAAGAAATGACTGCCTCTCTCCTTCCTGTTTTTCTCACCCCTTTCATGTTAATATCTCCTCTTCAAACAACATTTGCAGATAGGATATCATTTCAACTGATCCTCTTTCAGGCTGACAAAACCTTGCTTTTAATTCTGAAGACCACTTAACATTCTTTTGTCCTCTATAATGCTAATTTAACTGCAGACCTCATATGTGTCTAGTAGTTGAAAGTGCCTACCCGAGAATAATGCCTATGAGCAGTGAACAGTCCGAAAGAAATGCCCTGTAAAATGTGGTTTTTGTGTGCCCATAAAATTCGACCTTGCTTTCTTTGTGTCTTTTGCATTAAAGGGGAGCAGGCATAAGCCTTTTGATTGTTCTCTGACATGGGTTGGATTCCGAAAGCAATAGGAATGGGTTGAAATAACACTAAAAATCAGTCTGTAGACCATGACCATATTACAAATGACCGAGTTAGAATCCAACTTAGGCAATATAGCTTGTGGAGACTTTACTGTCAGAATGTTCTGAAACATAAATAGGAAGTAGCCTTTACAGTAAATAATGAGTTTAATCATGTAGCATGTGTTAAACCTGCTAAGTGGGGTGTATAATGAGCATAGGCATGCACTGGCCCCCACATCCTAGAGGTGGTGATGGACAGAACTAAGTCTAGCATGTGGTCTGTAAAGCTTTTTAATAGTCACTGTGAGAATAAATAAGCATTCACCCCTAATGAGTATACTTATTTATAAATAATAAGCAGGCACCTATCATACAAAGTAGGTAAAGGTGAAATAAAAAGCATATTAAGTATCTGGCTAATCATGAAAGTCTCATTCCGTAGTTCCTCAGTTCATATCCAAGGCACGGTATACATTTTGTGACTTGGAAATCCATATTTTGCTTGGTCTTCCTGATAAAGCTGTTTTTGGACCAAATTCTTAGGACATCTGCTTACAGAGAATTGCTTATCTTGTAATGTGGCTGATGAAGAGCTCATGCTAGACACTCAAGCGTCAGTGCAGCCGTTTGTTGTGGTTTATGTGTGCTTGCTCAATGAGTAACTCAAACCTGGTTTTTCTCCAGGGAATACTTTTGTATCCAGTTATCTATTCTGGAAGAG